CATGCGCTTGCATATTTTAAATCCTACCTTTCTAATAGGTATCAGTATGTCACCATTAAAGACAGCCTCATCAATACGGCCAGGGAAGTGTCGCAGGGAAGTGTCCTTGGACCCCTGCTCTTCCTCATTTACATCAATGATCTTCCAAACATATCCCAACACCTGAAACCCATTCTCTTTGCTGACGACACGACTTATGTCATCTCCCACCCTAATCTTGCCACTCTCAACACCATTGTTAACGAGGAACTGCTCAAAATATCGACTTGGATGACAGCCAGTAAACTTACACTTAACACTGGCAAAACCTACTATATTATGTTTGGTAGCAGAGCAGGTGCTGCGCAGCTTAACATTAAGATCGACAACACTCTAATTGCCAGACATAATGAGGGCAAATTCCTTGGCCTATACCTCGACAACAACCTAAATTTCAGCACCCATATCCAACACATAACAAGAAAGTATCCAAAACGGTGGGGATCCTCTCCAAGATATGATACTACGTGCCGCAAACTGCCCTTCTCACACTATACCATTCACTCATATATCCATACCTCACCTATGCTATCTGTGCTTGGGGTTCAACTGCAGCAACACACCTAAAGCCAATAATAACCCAACAAATAGCTGCAGTAAGAATAATCACTAAATCCCATCCCTGGCAACACCCCCCCACTCTTCATAGATCTAAACTTACTCCCTGTTCAGAACATCCACACTTACTACTGTGCAATCTATATTTACAGGACCTTAAATTCCAATATTAACCTTGACCTGAAACGCTTTCTTGATAGTTGTGACAGGATCCACAGGCATAACACCAGACACAAACATCTCTATGACATTTCCCGTGTTCGACTAAACCTTTACAAAAATTCAATGTATTTCAAAGGACCTAAAATCCGGAACACCCTGTCTGAAAACTCTAGAACTGCAGACACATTCATCACTTTCAAAACTACAGTTAGAAAACATCTTATCTCCCTGATCCACCCCGACAACTAACTACATGATAACCACCTGGTGGTTCACAATTACACTCACTCACCCACTGACTATAAACCCAGAAATACTAATCTTAATCTTAAAATAATAAATCCTAACTAGTCACAAGTTTGCCTATGATACTCCAATATAGACACCTTGTATTGTGCCAAAACAAAAGCATTCACATTGCTAAGCTCACAAATTATGATGTAGTCACTTAGCCTTAATACCATAATCTGTAAGGATTTAATGTTAAGAATTAATCTAAGTCTGCTCGAAATGCCTAGCCATGCAAGGTGTCCTAGTGGCCCCCTCTGTAATTAGTATTTTATAACATGTAAACCACACAATACCCAAAACCTGTAAACCCCACATTGTAACCCTTATAGAGAATAAACTTGAATTGAATTGAATTCATAGCTTTAAGAAGAGGTTCGATAAATCTCATGGGAAAGGGAGAGAGTGGACCTAGTAGTGACCAGGGAAGAGGCGGGGCCAGGAGCTATGAATCGACCCATGCAACCACAAATAAGCGAGTACATACGCACACACAGTCGCAGGAGCAGGTAGTGTGGCCGAGTGGTCTAAGGCGCTGGATTTAGGCTCCAGTCTCTCAGGAGGCGTGGGTTCGAATCCCACCACTGCCAAGTTGTTTTCGTGGCTAACGCGACGGTCTGGAGTTTTGAGACACTCTGACCGCTTATTCAAACCTCACCCGTGGTATGGTTTGATTGCAATCGTGTCATTACGATTTCGTGAGTCATGTTGACGGCTTTGAGGGGACTTGAGCTAGAGTTCGTCACGGCCATGCTAGCGGGAGATTCGTCTGTAAAAACTTGCATTTGTGGACACAGTGGTGCCTATGCTAACCTTCCTATGGTGTAGAAATATACCTAGTTGGACTAATCTTATTGAAACTAGCTGGCCCCAGTGGCTAACTCGACGGTCTGGGGTTTGGGACTCTGACCGCGGGTTCAAACCCCACCCGTGGTATGGTTTGTTTGCAATCGTGTCATTACGATTTCGTGAGTCTTGTTTTCTAGTAGTGACCAGCAAGGAGCTGTAAATCGATCCCTACAACCACAAAGAGGCGAGTACATACACAAACAAACACACAAAGGAAAAATAAAAGAAAAGGCCAAGTGTCTATCAGCAAGTGCCTTTGAAAACTAGTAACAACAACAACAACAACAACAACTACTACTACTACTTCTACCATTACTACTATTATTACTACACAGAGAAAAAAATATATTAAAGGGAGAACAAACGTTAGGAATCTCATCCTGGGAAAAGAAAAGTTTGCCTGTTCTGTAGCAGTGAGTTTTATGTGAGTTCTGTCTTAACAGATAAAAGGAAATTATTCATATAGAAGATCTGGAGTAAAATTAACGTATTAAATATATTATGTAGAAATATAACAACACAGTAAAGAATTCACTATTAGAGCCAATATTAGTCAAGAAATTAGAGAATGGAAATTACTCTAAGTTATAGAAGGACGCTGTTGATAGAGGTAAAACAATTATTGCTTTTGGCTGTGATGGAAAGCAAATAAAATAAAAAATAGAAAGAATCACAGAGTAGGAATAATACACTGACAAAAATGCACTGTGGATTTCTTGTGGCACATAGACGTGTTGTGTGTGTGTGTGTGTGTGTGTGTGTGTGTGTGTGTGTGTGTGTGTGTGTGTGTGTGTGTGTGTGTTTATAATTACCAATTTGTAGCTACAGGAGCAAAGTTATGTTTGTGGTGCACCGTTTAAAATAATTGGCTCTTCAATTTTTTTTTATTAAGTTTTAGTGTTTGTAGCACTTACTGACTCCTCTTATAAATTATTCCATTGGTCAAGTACTCTGCAAAGAAAATTAATCTAGTATTCCTTTAGCTTCACCTTTTTTGGTCTCTTGTCTTCCCTGTTTCAGGTACTAAGAAATATAATTTCGTATGTTTTTCCGTGTTCTTTTATGACCTTATAGTTATCATGTGATTCATGTCTCCTCTTTTTCTCCTATCATCTAAAGTGGACAGTCATTATACTTAACAATTTTGACAGAGATAACTTTTAGAAATCGTTGACGATGATGTTTTGATCAGCTGCAGCTTCTAGTTATGTATCAGCGAAGAATGAGACACTTTTCCAACATTTGAGAATCTTTATGGTGGAAACATTTCGCCAGCCAGTGACTTCTTCAGTCCGATACAGAGAAGAACAGTGGAAGATGTATTGGACTGACGAAGCCACTGGCTGGCGAAACGTTTCCACAATAAAGATTTCCAAATGTTGTAAAAGTGTCTCATTCCTCAACTTGTTGGTTTTCTAAACCATTGACTTCCAGTATCAGTGATCTCCAGTATAACAGCAACACACGCCACAAACACTATACATCACCATCAACTTTGACACAAACATTACCTTAGTAACAGCCATAATTTTTTCAACCCAGAATTACATTTAATTCCTTATTGTATAATTTATACAGGAAAGCGGAGGGTAGGCCTCCCATGAGTATCCTATTTGCAGATTATAATATTCTTGATGTAGTCTTAACTCACTGCTCTGCAAAGTACAAATCAATGTTAAACTTAAAATAAAAAATATTAGAATGCTCTTAACTGGTTTTGGTACCTTTATTTTCATTACGATTTATCCCAATCAACTGTTGGCTTAGCAGCGAGAAACAAAGATACACTGGGAATCTCTTGTTTTAAATTTAAGTTTTAAAGCAGGATACGCATCTCTGTATATACCTTTAATATACCTTTGACGAGTTTCGGGATGTTTTCTACTACCGGAGCATCAAGACTCATTTTTAATTAAGGTACATGTTCTGTAAGAAGGTTAACTCTAGTAGTTGAAATATGACGTAGTCGAGTGTGTGGTAAAAATATATACAGCAAAAGATCTTTATTAGTGCGACGTTTCACCTATACGAGGCTATATCAAGTACCTAGGTGCTTGATAAAGCCTCTTGTAGATAGAACGTCGTACTAATAAAGATCTTCTGCTGTATATCTCTTACCAACTTTATTATATATATATATATATATTATATATATATATATATATATATATATATATATATATATATATATATATATGTCGTGCCGAATAGGCAGAACTTGCGATCTTGGCTTAAATAGCAACGTTCATCTTGCCATATAAGACGAATGAAAATTTGTGTATGCAATAATTCCGCCAAAATCATTCTGAACCTAACGAAAAAAATATATTTCACTGTGTTTGTTTAGTATTAAATTATTGTAAACAAATCTAAAATATATTTAGTTAGGTTAGGCTAAAATAAATTGTTCTTGTTATAATAAGGTTAGGTAAGTTTTCTAAGATTCTTTTGGTGCAAAATTAAAATTTTTTACATTAACATTAATGAAAAATATATATCTTTAAACGTATAAGAGAAAATTTTAGAAAGGACTTAATTTTAAATGAGTTCTTGCTAATTGACCAGTTTTACATATTCGGCACGACATGTATATATATATATATATATATATATATATATATATATATATATATATATATATATTATTATATATATAATTTCAGATACTTTTAACAATGATGTCGTAGTTACTATGGGTCTGGAATTTTTAGAATTTATAGGGTCCGTCAGGTTACTTTCAGTAGAGGAAAAATGATCCCATTAATAAAGATCCTGCTGAGTATAAATTAGTATATTATGCATGCAATAGAATGCTTAGAAAGAGTGACAATCAGAGAACTATTTGTATGATTTTTGTGGACAATCCGTCATACTCAGCTGCTCTGCTATTGGAGAAGCTCTTCAGTACATCCCAGATCTATGGCTAATACACATCTAAGTGTAAAGAAAGTATGACGTCTATCGCTGCTTTCTAATATCAGCATCTCTGATAGTAGTCACTTTGACTTTAGTAGTTTATTCATATGTTACTATATAAGACAACTGTAAAAATCTCAACTTGTGTGAGGAAATTGAATTAAAAGTGACTTACTTGGGCATAACAGGGCGTGGTGTGGGTCATCTACAGAGGAAGGGTGGCGGCCAGACACTGCTGCTGCTGCCGCCCCTCCGTCAGGGCCAACCTTCCCCACCAGGGTACCATGGATGTTATCCTCGACCGTGATGCCTCCATGGAAAGCGTAGCTCCTCACCTCCCGGAGCCTGTTACTTCCCAGACGGTGTAACAGGCGTCAGTCATTTCCCAGACGGTGTGACTGGCGTCCGAAACTTCCTAAGCAGTGCACCAGCGTCAATTACTTCCCAGCAGTGCAGCCGGCGTCTTTCACCTTCCAGGCAGTGTCCCCGGATTCAATGGACTAGCTATGAACGACAATTAATTTTTAGGTCATTCATCGTGAGGTGAGAACTTTAAGTCAAAGACTATAAACCAATAAGCTCTACCGCTGTGACGGTAGTGTTCGTGTTCACTGTTACACAGGTGAACATGACCTACTTTGAACCAAGTGGTTACTATAACTGAGGTGAACATAATGTACAGGATAAGATTCACTATGAGAGGTAAACATGACGTACCGGGAGTGAGGTGGTGTTCCTGCTGCTCTGCACAATTAACACAATAAATCATAATAACACAGGTGTACAGGCCTCTCGTCATACAAACTAATAACTCTATGTAAAGAAAAGTTACGAAGTTAAGTGACTCATATTAACACATTAAATATTGAATATGAAGATTTAGATTTTAAAGGACCACAATGGAAATAAGTCACTTTGTCTGACTGTTTTGGGTTATCGTAGGTTCTCTACACACATGCTGCTATATATGATAATATATGTAATTGTATTTGTGTATACCTGAATAAACTTAAATACTTGAAAGAGTCTTCGATACACACGCACACAGTCTGTTAAAAATATCTCAATATATAATTGCGGAGATATGTACAAAACTCATTTATATCTGTTCTTTGATCAAAATAAAAAAAATGCATTGTTATACTTGCAGCAATTTTAGGCAGCGGTACATGATTAATTGGGATTAAACCTCTTGTTTTCATAAAACAATACTAAACGTTGTATAACACAAGTTTAGGGCTTCTTAATAATAATAATAATATAATAATAATAATAATAATAATAGACCACTAAGATGTTCTGCTTTACGAAATCATCAGAATAAATTCATGGTTTTAGATCCGTTGTGCAAAAAGTCTTCAGCAGTCACCAGCAGTGATAGTGGCAGCCGCTTTAAGTTGCAAGTGGTCCACAGTTCAGGAAGAAGGAAGATGAGAGTTAATAGAGAAGATGTGAAGGTAGGAAATCGATTCTCTGTTCTTCAAGACGAGTGTACTTCAGTGGTTAGTGAGGTTGAAGGTACCATTGATTCCCCTGCTAATCAAGGTAAGAATATTTTAATAGTAGGCGATTCTCAGGTAAGATATATGGACCGTGCATTTTGTAACAGAGACAGAAAGGTCAGACAGATAGTGTGTCTTCCTGGAGCTGGTGTTGGTGACATAGTCAGCAGGTTGGATAATATGGCAGGTAATGGGAACAAGCCAATTATCTGTCTTAGTGCTGGGGGTAATGACATTGGGAAGGGCAGGAGAGAGGAGCTGCTGGATAAGTACAGGCCAGCCATACAAGTAGTTAGGTCTAAGGGAGGGATCCCAGTCATATGTAGCATCTTACCTAGAAAGGGAGTGGGCAATGAATAGATGTCTAGGGCAATTGGTATAAATTGCTGGCTAGACAGGTACTGCAAGGAACTTGCAATCCCATTCATTGATAACTGGGACCTATTCTTTGACAAACGTGATATGTATGCAAGGGATGGGGTTCATCTCTCTGGGGATGGATTGGTTGCATTAGCCAATTCAATTGAGAGGGTAATTGATGACTTGTCTAGGAATTTAAACTGATAAATTATAGAGGTATGGGTGTTTGTGGGAAGCAATTTGGCTGCAGCATTAGGGTTAAAAACAGCAGTTATTACCGGGTTACCTCAAGGATATGTTTAAAAGACAATATTCAAAATAAAGTTACTTGTAATGGCAAATCAATTGATCAAAGAGAGATAGTAGAGGACAACGAGTGACTAGCTCCCTTAAGGTTTACTATACAAATAGTAGGAGTCTAAGAAATAAGGTAGATGAGCTAAGATTACTTGCAAGTGTAGGTAATATAGATATTATTGGTATAACAGAGACCTGGTTCAACCTGAAAGATAGAGAAATGCCTTCTGAATGCAACATGCAGGGTTATAAACTATTCCACACTGATAGGGTCAACAGGAAAGGTGGTGGAGAGGCGATGTATGTAAGAGAAAATTTAAATTGTTGTCATAGACATGATATAAGATTAGAAACATCGAACACAGAATCTGTTTGGCTACAGTTTCTCGAGGGACGTGACAAATTAATTTTGTGTGTGATTTATAGGCCCCCCTAACCTTGATAGGGAGGGCAGTAAGCTGTTATGGGACGAAATTCAAAGGCATCTAGATATGAAAATGTTGTTATAATGGGAGATTTTAACTTTAGACAAATTGATTGGAACAATATGACAGGAAATCTGGTCAGTGACTTTCTTTGATAGGTTAGGTTTGCTTTTTAGAAAGGTTGTCGAACCAATAGAAAAACAATTGTTGATTGGTTCTTACCAACAAAGTTTCACAAATTAATAATTTGGGTTTAATGTGGCTTGGGGAAAGGGGGATCGCAAATCACTTAGTTTCAATATATCAGGAATTACCCAGTTTAAATGCAATAAAATCTTGTCCCCGATTTTCGCTTGGCCGACTTCATGGGACTGAAAAATTCCCTGGGTGGGCAAAATTGGGATGTCCTAACTATGGGTCTGGTAGGGATTTGGTTCCCAAATTTGAGTTTTCAGAGCTTGTTCTAGCGCCAGAAACTTTTGTTCCGAAGGGAAAAATTTTTTGATCTAACAAAAATGATCCCAAATGGTGAAAATAGTTTAAAAATTCATGGTCAAAAGAGAGGTATATAGGGTATCAAAAGAGGGGATGGGCAGTAAAAATCAATTATTAAATTAAAGAGAAAAAAAAAGCAATAAGAAAAGCAAAAAAAGGGTTTTTGGGCTAAGGCCGAAAAAGGGATTTAAAATCTAACCCAAAAGGGTTCTTTCAGGTAAAGAAGTAAGATTAAAGGGAAAAAAATTGGGCCCCTTTAAAAGTAATTTTGGTCAGATCATGACAGTGATAAGGTTTTGTGTGAAAATTTTTAAATACCTCTTCCTCCAGTTTTCACCCCGGAAAATATAGCGATATTCCCGAATAATAGATTATGTAGAACGGTGTGATAAAAATTGTACAATTGCGGTAAAATAGTGACAGATCCTGACAAAAACAGAAACTAAAACCTAACAAATCCCCCCGGCCCTGATGAAAATGTTTGAAGGGTGTTAAAGGGAAAGTGAAGAGGAAATTAGAACCTTAGGCTAATTTTTTAACATATCACTACAAAATGGCTGTGCCCCGTAAGTAGAAGGCAAATGTAATCCTATTTTAAAGACAGGTGACAGGTCCCTTTGGGTTTGAACTTTGACCAAAAAGCCTTCCTCCATGTGGGAAAATTTTGGAAAACAATAATTGACGAAACATTCGTAACCCTCTGACGGCCGATTGATTAATGAATCTCAACCGGTTTTACAAAGAGGCGTTCCCGTCTTACGAATTTACTAACTTTTTTCACTAAGGTGTTGAGAAAGGGAGATCAGGTAATGATATGAATTGTGTATATGGATTTTAGTAAGGCTTTCGAAGAGTTCCACCCAGAGGCTATTGAGGAAACTTAAGGCCAGGGGGAAAAGGAGGAGAAATTTTTTCCTGGGTAGAGGGATGGTGACAAATAGACAGCAAGGGTTTGCATAAAAGGGGGAGAAATCAGAATGGGGGCAGTCTCAAGCAGTGTTCCCCAGGGGTCAGTGTTGGGCTTGTTGTTAAAAATTTTCATAAACGAATAGATGAGGGTAAATAGCGACAAAAAAAAATTTGCTGATGACACCAAAAATAGGCCCTCCAATTATTCTAATGAGGACACTAGAAATCCAGGATGATTTGAAAAGACTGATGCAATGTTCGGGAAGTGGCGATGCAGTTTAATATTTTACAAAGCAAGTTTAAATGTTGCCAGTTAGTAAACTGCCACAGTAAAATAAATAATGTAGATCTTAAAACTACTGATTGCGAAAAGGATTTAGGAGTTCTGGTTAGCAGTAATCTAAAACCAAGACAACAGTGCATTAGTGTTAGCAATAAAGCTAACAGAATTCTTGACTTCATATCTAGAAGTATAAATAATAGAAGTCCTCAGGTTGTTCTTCAACTCTATATATCCTTGGTTAGGCCTCATTTAGACTATGCTGCTCAGTTCTGGTCACCGTATTACAGAATGGATATAAATGCTCTGGAAAACGTACAGAGGAGGAGGACAAAGATGATCCCATGTATCAGAAATCTTCCCTATGAGGATAGACTGAGGGCCCTGAATCTGCACTCTCTCGAAAGGCGTAGAATTAGGGGGGATATGATCGAGGTGTATAAATGGAAAACAGGAATAAATAAAGGGGATGTAAATAGCGTGCTGAAAATTTCCAGCCAAGACAGGACTCGCAGCAATGGTTTCAAGTTTGAAAAATTCAGATTCAGGAAGGATATAGGAAAGCTCTGGTTTGGTAATAGAGTTGTGGATGAGTGGAACAAACTCCCGAGTACAGTTATTCAGGCTAAAACGTTGTGTAGTTTTAAAAATAGGTTAGATAAATACATGAGTGGGTGTGGGTGGGTGTGAGTTGGACCTGACTAGCTTGTGCTGCTGGGTCTGGAGCAGTGCTCCATCCTTGAGTGGAGATGATCAGACTGGGTGGGTCATTGGGCTAATCCGGGGGGGGTCTCATTGGTCTCATCCGGGGGGGGACATGGACCTGCTCCGCATGGGTCAGTAGGCCTGTTGCAGTGTTCCTTCTTTCTTATGTTCTTACTCTAGCCGCTTCAGAACCTGACCTTGGAGAGCTCACTCAACTTACTTTCACTGCCAGAGCGAAGCACTAGAAGCTGGTGAAATTTTCATGGTTAGGTCAGTCTGAAATATTTTTACTAGTTTTCTATATTCTTGTACAAGAATGGTATACAATCTTCATTAGTAGTTAGTTAGTTCCCAATGCCTCAGTTTTTATCACAGCATGAAACTAGTTAGTCCGCTCCTCTGATAAATAAAGTTTTAATCTTAACTAATTACAACTGATTACTGTAAAATACTGATCAAATTTATTTTAAAATCCAGCTTATGCCAAGATTTGAGTCAACTTTTTCCGCAGATGATGAATTATTTCAAAATACTTTTAACTAAGCTAAGACTGCTAATTCTACTCTCGATGTCCCAAAAAAATATTGTGCAGAGCCGATCCACAGGATATATACACCGAGAGGTGTATATCTCTCAGCGTATACTGTATATGCTGCGAGAAGAATATTTTAATCCCTATTTTAGTGACTAAAATATTCTGGTCTGGTGGTGACAAGGTTACGTACAGCTTTAAGACCCTATTGAAGTCGATAATTTTTAAACCCTATTAGCCAACCTAACCAGTACTGTCTAAAGAATTGATTGTCTGTGTGTATTACACCGCTAAAGAAAACGTTAATAACTTCAGTGTGAAGGGTGTGTGTGAGGGGCATACAAAAAGTAGTGGACACAATCTCTACTCGCAGATTCAAATGTAAATATATAAGATAACTGGAGTCAAGGAGTCATCCGAATCCATTCGTCTTTTGATGGTAACTGTTTAAATGGTTTTTTTTTTAATTGATATGATTTATTTTAGCTGAATGTGATATTTTTTTCTTTTGCCCATGT